TTAGGGTTTAGGGTTTAGGCGGCTAAGGGTCGACCCCCATACAGTTTACAAAGCAGTCTTTCGGCAAAGAGTTTCTTCGGGCGCCAAGTTGCGCTGGCGTCCCCTAACACCCTAAACCCCTAAACCCTAAACCCTAAAACCCCCTAGCCCTTAAACCCGTAAACCCTTAAACTCCTAAACCCTTAAACTCCTAAACCCTTAAACTCCTAAACCCTTAAACTCCTAAACCCTCAACAAACCTAAACCCTAAACCCTTAAACTCCTATACCCCCAAACCCCTAAACCCCAAACCCTAAACTCTAAACCCTAAACCCTAAACCCTAAACTCTAAACCCTAAACATCATGGCCTGGCCCCCTAATCCTTTAAACTTCTAAACAACCCGAAACCCCATGGCCTGGCCCATGTTCATCTTCTCCGCGGTCCACCGCTTCTGGGCCGCGTCGATGAGGGCCCAGGGGAGGTTCAGCTCCATGCAGCGTTCCTTTGGGCTGCTAAGGCTTATTCAGGGGTTTAGGGTTTAGGGTTTAGGGTTTAGGGCTTAAAATTGAGGGTTTTGGGGTTTAGGGGCTTAGGGTTTAGGGGTTTAGGGGTTTAGGGCTTAGGGGTTTTATTCTGTTTTAACGAGCAAGAAAGTTGTGCTGACAAAGACTTTCGCCCTTTGACAAAGGGCACGTAGGTGAGTTTCAGACCCTAAACCCTAAACCCTAAACCCTAAACCCTAAACCCTAAGACTTCACTATGGCCCCCCAATTCAGGCTTCCTTCAAGAGTTCCCTTAAGTGTTCCTTTAAGGATTCCTATATTCCTTATAAGGATTCCTATATATGGGCCCCCGAGTAAGGCTTCCTTTAAGAGTTCCCTGAAGTGTTCCTTTAAGGATTCCTATATGGGGGCTTCCTTTAAGTGTTCCCTGGAGTCCTATATGGGCCCTAAATCAGGACCAATGTGCTGTAGGGAATCTCCCCACCAATAAACCACACATATACACTCACAAGTGTTCCTCAAAGGCTCTATACGCACTGACAAAGCCTGAATTTCCACTGCTCACTATTTGTGCTGCTCTGAAGAGGGCCGCGTCACGCCATTCAAGCGCTCGAGGACAGCGGTGTTTGTCACGCCATTCCTCGGGTAAGTCCGTTGGCTCGCTTCCTAAAGTTCCCCCGGTCCCCACCACCCAAAGAAACGACCTTGTGACGATGACGATGCTGACGGTAATGTAGGGGCCTTAATAATTGGAATAGGGTTCGGTGCATACCATACTATAATTGTAGTAAGGAACCCAAAATAGTATAGGTAATGATTTAGGCCCCTATAGTACTCATGAACCATCTTTGCTTTTTGGTTTGGTTCGGGTTTGGATCGGAGCTTTCCTGGTGATTGGAACTCGCC